AAAAAATAAAGACAGTAGGAACAAGAAAAGGTTTAAAAAATGTGTATGAGACATGTAATATGAAAGATAGAAGCTACACTGGATGCAGTGGGCCAGCTTGAATGGCTTGGCTAGGTTGCCTGTGCACCAGGTTGTGAATGCCAAATGGGTTTTGAAAGGGAGGGCAATAGCATGGGTCAAGACGATTACGGCCTTGCAGAGGTCTCAGCAGACTATACTTGCAGGCAGGTGTTAGAAGTGACCTCTAAGGGCAGGGGAGGAAGAAATAGGGAAGAACTGATTTTGCTAGTGGGAAAAATGGAGGGTGGGGGAAGGGTGGAACAGGCTGATGCAGGGGAATAAAAATGGGGAATTTAGTATTGGCCCTTCTGGCTCCACATCTTCAATCCTAGGTCCAAAAGGCCAGATTGCTGGGAACCTACCTGGTGTCTGGCTGCAGCTGCTGTATGTCCTGTCCTTCTGTAATGAGACCATGTTTGTCCATGACCTGCTGACAGATGAATAGAAGGGCTTGGTATATATCATGGAGCCATGATTGGGTGTGACTATCATCTTCTCTGAAACTTCTCCTACCAGGTTCTAGGTTTTGCAGCAGCTGCCAAGCTGAGGAAGGGAAAAGGGTATTACAATAATCTTTAGAGGCCTTACCCCCTCTGACTCAGTCTCTATGGCTTAAATATGCCATCCAGAGGCAAGAAAAGAATCTGGACCAGTCCCAGTAATGATATTGATGCCCATGAATCTAATAAACCAGAGAAACAGATTTCTCTTTCCATTGCAGAGATAGCACAAATTGTGAAAAAACAGGTTTATGGCTTCAGGGTCTCCTCCTCTTCCAAAGAATATCACAGCACAATAGCCAGAATGGCCAATGATATGTTGAGGTCTATAGGCCAATAGGTCTATAATTAAAAGAATGATCCTTTTAATTATAGACCTATTGGCCTATAGACCAAAACATATCAGTAAGGTTTATGCAAGACAATTACAGTGGAAATTCCAAGACTGGCTGGACCAAGAAAACCTGCTTGCAGAGGAGCAGGATGGCTTTAGAGAAGGCCAGTCCACCATTGATCAATGCCTTGTACTCCAATACCTCATTGAGAAATGCTCCTGCAACACAACCCTCCCCCTAAGGTTGCTTTCATAGATTTCAAAGCAGTATTTTATTCCATATTTCTGTTAAATTGTGTGAGAAGTTGGAGGCCCTCTTGATTGACCGGTGTCTATTTCATTTAATCCATTTGCAACATCTCACTCAAAGTAAGGGTAGCCCTTACAGGGCCATCTCACCAGTGCTATTGAAATCAAGAAAGACGTCATGCAAGGCTACATATTGCCCCCACTCCTATTCAGCTTCTATATTAACTCCATGGTAGGCCATCTCTATCATACAAACTTTCACTCCCCAAAACTTGCTGGAAGACACATTTCTGTTCTACTCTAGAAGCATTGATGCTCTAGCACAGTATTGTAAGGAAGACCAGCTAGAACTCAGTTATCAGAAAACTAAAGGCATGGCATTTGCCCTAATGCCCAAGAGCCATTCCTGTAGCATAGATGGCCTCAAGATCTGAGTAGGTTTCCTGTTTCAAATACTTGGGGTAGTCTTTCTTTCTGCCATGGGAACCACATTGCTGAAAATGCACAGAGGAGTTCACCTATCATTTAAGCCCTCCTTAAATACCTGAAGAGATGGTCAGTATATACCAGCAGTTCTCAAATTATTTTAGGCCAAGCAGTTAGCACAATTTCTCTATGATGTGTAGCTGAGTTTCTTTATTTCCTTTCTTTCTTTCTTTCTTTCTTTCTTTCTTTCTTTCTTTCTTTCTTTCTTTCTT